GCTTAGTGATGGAAGTTCCAGTCCCAATTGTCATAAATCAAGGACTACCTTACAGATATTTGAGGCATTAATACATTTTATAAAATTATTTATTTACTGATTGCCACAGCACAGAGTAAGATACTTGAATCGTGGTGGTGGAATCTCTTTCTTCTAAAGACAAAAGCACAAAAGTTGTTAGAAATGTGAAAATGACTGCATTGTTATTCATGTGCTTCTATTCACATGGACTATTTCTTGACTCTTATTATTTGATTTGGTTTTAAATTGTTTTTAACTTTTGTATTTTTGTATTTTATCTTGTGCCTGTTCACCGCCCTGAGTCCTTCAGGAGTAGGGCGGTATACAAATCTAATAAAACTAAACTAAACTAAACTCTTATCGTTTATAGCCCTGCATTAGAAACTTCCTTTGATCAGGAAATTATAGTGGAACAAAAGAAAATGACAATAGTAAATAGGATGCATTTATTGTATTATATATGTTGCAATCAAGTTTTAAAACTTGGAGCAATTTTTGGCTGCATGATAAACTTGATGACAGTATATGTTTTCACACTTTAAGGATCAAGTATAGTGAGTGTCATATTTTGATGAGCAGCATCATTATTCACCTAGATATTAATATTCACTGCAATATATAAAATTGTATATAAATGCCAAAACTTTAAATGGTAATTAGAGGCTTTATAATGAAGGATAAAGATGACAAGAAAGAAAGACAATCTAATGCATTTAAATTCTAGAGTTAATCTCTTGTTGATGTAACAACTGACACAACTTCTTCATTTGAGAATGAATCATGGCAAATAGCAGAGAACCCTTGGCTGACTTAGTAATGATTGTTTACAGACTATAAACATATAGTCTGTAAACTATATAGTCTGTATATAGTCTGTAAATATATCCCTGTAATGCTTTAGCATGGGTATAACAAAGTTGAAGTAAGCACTGCAATTCAAGCTTGACAGAATATTTTTTAATCAAAAAAAAAGTCAATGCTTTCTAAGCTAACAATTGTCAATAGCCATTGGAATGAATGACTCCACTGCAAACAGATCAATCTTTGATAGGTATGTTCCATTGCTGTATTGCACTAATACTCTCATGCTGCAGCTGCTTCTGTCGGACCCACCTTCATCCTGGGATGCTGCTTGGATCTCTGCAAATGTGGACTTGCAGCAGAGGAAAAATCAGGAAAGCCGTGCAGAACTTAGTTCACACAAAAAATGATCATGCCATTATAAGTGTTTAAGGCTTAATTCCAAAGCAAGGCAAGAAACTACTACAAGGAAGGAAGAAGCAAGGGGAGAAAGGAGAGGGAGGGAGGGAGGGAGGGAGGAAAGGAAGGAAGGAAGGAAGGAAGGAAGGAAGGAAGGAAGGAAGGAAGACAGGCCTTATGCCATTCTGTCAGTCAGGGAACCTCAGAGATGCTGGTGAGCAAACCCTTAAAATGATCATAGAAGCAGCATCCAATTAGCTTTGGATGGTTTGGCAGTTCTATGCAGCTTTATATTGCAATCAGAGGTGGGATTCACATAATTTACCTACCGGTTTACCCAGCACTAAAAATGTGAGCGCGCATGTGGCCTTCTGCACATGCGCTTGCTTGCATACGCACCTTCTGTGCATGCGCCCAACCACAAAAATGTGCCTAAATAGGACAGCATAGAGCGATTTCCGATTCCGGTCCAAACCAGCTGAATACCACTTCTGATTGCCATGAATATTAATGTCTAATTAATGTCTAACTGAATAATGTTGCCACTCATAAAAATGCAGCAGATAAAGTTCAATCCACAGGGGATTTCCAAACAACTATACAGCCTCCAATCCATAGTTAATCAACTCTGCTTTCAGTGACCTCAGCTCACCTGATTTTGCCAGAGCCAAAGAGGACAAATTGATCTTATCTTTGCCTATTCTTTCCAAGAGTGAGACATCAAGGTTTATTTATACAATTTATTGGCCGCCCATCTTACCACAGGTTAAAGAGTATTGGTTTATACCAGACCATCCCAAGGTCTGATGATGAGAAAGTTCTTCCTACTTTACACAGGTATACAAACAAAACAAAGCATAAACCAATTATAGTCCTTTGGCTACTAAACTAAATGTTTGCTTAAATTTGTCTTACATACTTAACCATTATACAGGGATATCAAATTCTGTGTACCATCCACCTAAGATCTACATATCACTACCCAGTTCCTGCCTGCCAATCTTCCAGCATTACATGAAGAAGCAGAATGTAAAAAAAAAAAAAAATGGTCAAAGACAAGAAAAACTGGGACAGAGTTTTGGGGACCAGAAAGGAAGAAAACCAGTGGAAAGAGCAGGACATAATTTGGAATTTAGACAGAAGTACAGTATGACCTTAAATGATCTTATTTGTAAAATTAGTAGCTTTGTAAACCATACTACTGTTAGCAGATCATGGCTTTATTTAGAAACCGTTGAGTGCTACTAAGTAGCTTTATTAGTCAGGGACTAATACAGCAATGAGTTGGCAATCTGCTAGCATTTAACAAAGGCATAATTTCTTGCTCTTCAAATGCTCACTCCAACCCTTCCTTCATTGCGGAACATATAAGTGAAAAGATCCTCAAGTTTCCAATGCATAAAAAGTTTGCCTCTAACCTTTTCTTTGTATAAATAGAGGCCATAACTGTCTGGCCTCCAATATACACGTCTCAGTTATAGATAACTGATTCCTATCCCATACTATTCTACAAGTATTTTTTTCCTGGGGAACATCAATAATATATCCCTTCCCTCTACTTATACAGAAGTATTAATATATATTGTGGATTATATGTGGCACCTCAGGGTGCCGTCGGCTAGACAATGCCGGCTGGCGACCCCCAGGAGGAGAGCCTTCTCTGTGGTGGCACCTACCCTTTGGAACAATCTACCCCCAGAGATACGAGTGATCTCCGACCTCCGGACCTTTCGTCGGGCCCTAAAAACTCATCTCTTTCAGTTAGCCGGTCTCTCTTGATTTTATGATTTTATGGTTGGTTTTAAATTTTGATATGGATTTTAAATTGATAAATTTTAAACTATGGGCCAAATTTAATTATTTTAAATCTATTTTTTAATCGTACTTATGTATAAATGTTTTTTATTCTGGCTGTTCACCGCCCTGAGTCCGAAAGGAGAAGGGCGGTATAGAAATTCGAATAATAAATAAATAAATTAAGATTCAGTTTACTGTCTTGACAATTATGTTGTCACTCGATACAGTAGATCACCACATAGTTGTGACCCATTCAGCTAGAGCAACCTGACACGAAACATTGCTTCTTTTCATTGCAACGCTGGCAATTCATTTAAGAGTGTGGCTTGATAAATCTTCTTTAAAAGGAAAGATACCTACTTTTACATGTTGGCAAAATAACATCTATGGATGTCAGTCTTTGTTTGAACAGGAATACAGTACATTCAATATTATATTACACAAATGGAAACATTTTCTTAGTTACATTATGAGGACTAACGTGATTTCATCAGCAAACTGTAATAACCTTATCAACATGGGTTGCAGCCTGGCACTCACACTTATGTAGGAATAATGGTTACTGAATTTATTTCTGAACAGAAGCCCATAGAATAGGACTACCACTTTCAAACATTTTGATGCATAAAACAAAATAAAAATCCTAAATGCACTTGTTGTACAATGCTTTGCAGATCTACTTAGAAATAGGTTTCACTAAACACACTGGCTTCTATTTAAGCATCTTCAAATGGTATGTAGAAATGACATTTGGAGGCAGGAGAAAGAGTCACAGACTACCATCAGATAAAAGGTATCTTAGCCCACAGAAGAAAAAGGGATGTGGGAAGCATCTCAGAATGAATCCTCCCTAGTTTTCTGGAAAACAAAAGAGAGGACGGATGCTTTTAAACTTGCAAAACTGATGCCAGCCTTTGAGGTCATCCAGACAAGAAGCATAAACCTTGATTACTAATGCTACCTTTATTGTAATGTTACAGTAGTAGAATCTTTCAAGTCTTGAAGCACTTCTCCGCTCCCTGGTAATCTAATCTGTCTCCAAAGGTCATTTCCACATACCATTAAAACACACAACTAGTCAGTGGATTTAGTGAAGCTCATTTCCTCAAGATCATACCCACATACATCTGTAGGTTTACTTTCATTAAATATTTTATGCTTCCATGTTGCATCAATAATATGAGTCTAAGCAGTTAATAGCTTAATATGCAATACAGGTAATACAGGTAATACATTGCATTAGATTGAAACATATCAAATATACTAGACATATCTATAATAATAATACAGTTGATGAAAATTCAGTGTAATTATAAACTGTAACACCAGATTGATCTCAGTTCAAGTACATCACTCATCTTCTCTTCAATCCCCAAGTGTACACTTGAAATACTACATTTCTAAAAACTTCCTGATTATTAGGAATGAAAGATGAAGTTCTTATATTTGGTACAGCAACATTCCACAGGGAGTTTCTGCTCAATTCTGAGTCACCTCTATCTGCACCTTAGGATTCCATTCCCTGTGTATTCATGGTATAAAAAATGATTTGGAAGAGGTACTTTATAAGAGTGTTTGTCCACTTGGTAACTTTAAGATATGTGGACTTCAACTCCTAAAGTCGAACAGTCTCTTGGTTCAAACCATCTCTTTAATGTGCCTCCTTAAAGTAGCTTTTTTAAAGCTCACATTGAACCACATCAAAACCACAGTTGCTTTAAAGAGGATTTATATTTGTGCTCGTGTGCATTCTGAATTTCTGCTTCTGAGTCAATTTTGAAGCATGCACAGCCTTAATATAAAGTCAAACTTTCTTTGAATGATTGGCGTCTCATATCTTTCAGCCTTCAAAAAACACTACAAAATCAAATCACAATCAAATTGTAGTAACATTCCTTTCAACCTTCAGTAAAATATACTTTTAAAATATAAGTTTAAGTTTCATATAACTTGCTAGTACCCTGCTAGCAAAGAAAAACTACCTTGTGAACTCAGATAATCAAACCCAGGTTTTCTGATGTATTCCCCAAGAATCTTGATCCGGTGAGGCCGAGTGTTTGTGAGTCTTGGATGCCTTAACAATTGAGGCTAGATAGATACAGATGGAGATTTACTCCTTTGGATAAGCATGACCCTTGCAGAAATAGCTCTGGACAGGTAAGAGGATTATTATAAAGGAATTAGCAAACTCTGTTAATTAGTTCAGACCAATGAAATGTGAGGCTTTCCAAAGATTTAAAGGATTTACTACATAGGTACAGTTGTGGAGAGAAGCCAACCAGAATTCTGGATGAACCCTAAATATTGGGGTTAGCAGTAGGCTAAACCATCTGGAAATACAGGAGATGAATAATTGATGGGACATATGGCACCATTATTAATATTTTCTAAGAATATGATTGACATATGAATCAAGTTCACTTTCCCAATGAGCTGTTATTGAATTGATACAGCTTTCTTTCTATTAGGAGGCCTGTAGTATTTTGTACTTATGATTAGCCATAGCACTTAGACTTATATACTGCTTCACATTGCTTTACATCCCTCTCTATACAGGGTTTACAGAGTCAGCATATTGCCCCCAACAATCTGGGTTCTCATTTTACCGACCTCAGAAGGATGGAAGGCTGAGTCAACCTTGAGCCTGCTGAACTGCAGTCAGGAGAAGTAGGCTGCAGTACTGTTTTCTAACCACTGCGCCACCACGGTTAGTGCTTTTTCTCTTTCTGTCTTTGGAATCGATACTAAAGGAGTAGGAGTGGGAAATTAATATGATACTACTTATTTTTCAAGTTCTTTTGACAATAAAAATTATAACTTATTATGATTGCGAATGTAAGAATGTAGAATAAAAATATTGTTTCGAGGTTAATATGTTCCAAAAAGATTATGTGATATCTCTTTGTTGCCATGGGTTCAACCTAGGATTTAATGTAGGTGCTAGAGAAGTCAGCCTTTTAAATTCAGCTATCATGCAAAGGTTAGAGGGAAATACATTGCTCTTCTGACTGGCTTGCAAAATTGACATCCATAATGCTGGTTTGTTGCTTCAGGAAGAAGAAGTTTTGTTCTCCTTAGCCCTAAACTGATATAAACTCAGTGCAATAGCTGGTTATTCAGAATTGCACAAATTTAATGGAGACAGGGATATCCTCAGGAATGCATGTATGTCATTTGGGGGTAACAAAAGGATCTCTGTATATATCCTTTAAAAAAAAGAATTTTTTTCTTTAAAAAAAGAGAAATTTTATTGAAATTTAAAAATACAAAGATCTAAAGAAAACTAATGCAAACTAAGGAAAATACAAAAAGTGTGTGTGTTTGTATCCATATTTGTTGGAAACATGCGAAACTGGCCTTCATTCTACAATAGATAGACAATGGCTAAAATAATATGATGATGATGATGATATACAGTATATATAGTAAATTTACTATATATAAATCATTATAAATTATATATATTTATAAAATTATAAATATATATAATCATTTACTTTACTATAGTGTGTGTATAGTAAAGTAAATGAAACAACTGAGAAAATAATTTACTTCTTTAAGATTATATATAAATTATACACAAACACAGACACAGAGACAGACACACACACACACACACACACATATTTGTTTTCGTAGATTTTCACAGGTACAGGTATGCAAGTCTTGGTGTATTCGGGTCTTTTCCCGTGTAAGATTGAGAGTATCTTGGTGATGTTTCGATGAGGTCCCACTCGTCATCTTCAGGTTGGTGTCTTCGGCTTTGTGCATGTGCAAGCAAAGCATGATCGGAGATGCCGTCTCTCTATAAATATTGGTGGGGAGGTGGGGAGTGCTGGCTTTGTTGTTGAAAGCGGGTTGGTTGGCTGTGTTGTTACATCTTGATTAATTGATGGAGTTGATGTTTGCAGATTAGTCGGTTGTTTCATAACATTCTGTGTGGGCGAGGTCCTAGCTGTGTGCCCATTAGGCTTTTGTGTTGTAACGACCTGGGTAATGGGCAATGTGGCAGTATCCTGAGCTCCAGTGATGTGACATCCTGAGTCCTGAGCTACAACATCCTGGGTAGTTGGCTGTGTTGCAACATCCTGAGCCCTAGTACTGCAAGATCCTGAGCCATGTGATGCACCGTCTTGAGCAGATGGCTGCGATGCAACATCTCGTACGTACGAGATCGCCTTCTGCCACCGATAGCCTCCCAACGGCCAATACACTCCCACAGAGAGGGACTCCTCAGGGTGCCATCGGTCAAAGAATGTCGACTGGCGACACCCAAGGGGAGAGCCTTCTCTGTGGGGGCACCTGCCCTCTGGAATGAATTGCCCCCAGAGATACGTATGATCCCTGACCTACGTTCCTTTCGCCGTGCCCTTAAGGCTCTATTGTTTCAACAGGCTGGGCTGGCTTAGAAAATGAATTTTAATTGGGTGTTTTTAGTTTTTTTTTAACACAAGGACCAAATTATTTAATATGTTTTAAACTGTTTTTAAATTTTGTGGAGATATGTTGTTTTATTGTGGCTGTACACTAGTCCTTCGGGAGAAGGGCGGTATAAAAATTTAAATAAATAATAAATAAATAAATAAATAAATAAATAAATCATGGGCTTTAGTTTGGCTCCGAGTCTGAGATCCCATCATGCGCTCATGGTGTGTGTTAGTTTGCTTTGTATGGGGATCGGAGGGGGGCGCAGTAGCTGGCGATGACGCCGCGGTCCAGCTCCTGGACGGTGGCTGCATTTCATCTATGGGATAGGATTCGGTTTGAATCTGGTGAGGATGATTGGTGGTGGTGTCATGTGTTATTCTGGGTCTGGTGTCAATGTTTGTGGCTGGGGCTCGTTTGTTGACTAGGGCTAGTTTCCAGATGTCTGGTAGGCGGAGGTATCATCACATTTATTCTTGTTATGGGATTGTTTCTCTATTTCAATGGCTTCCATAATTATTCTCTTGTTGAAATGTTCAGTTTTGGAAATTAATTTGGTTCCTTCAAAATCAATTTTATGTCCTGTTGTTTTAAGGTGCTGGAAAAGGGAGGAAGTTTTTTCTTCTTTTCTGACTGCGTTCTTGTTTTCTGCGATGCATGCATTTATTCTCCTATTGGTTTGTCCAATGTATGTGGCTGGGCAGATTTTGCATGGTATTTCATAGACTCCTTGGTTTTCTAGCTGGATCTTGTCTTACATTTCTTAAGATGTTGGCTATCTTTTGGTCAGGGCAGAAGGTTGTCTTGATGTTGTGTTTGTGAAGAATTTTGCTGATTTTATCTGTAGTGCCTTTGATGTAAGGGAGGAGGTGATGCCATTGTCCTGTTCTGTGTCTCGGTTCTTGGGGGGTGTCTCCCTTTGGATTAGGTTGGTAATTGTGTTTCTTTGGAATCCGTTAGAGATTAATACGTTTGTGAGAGTGTGTAATTCAGTTTTCAGGTGGTCTTTGTCAGCTAGGAGTTTGGTTCTGGAGATGAGAGTCTTGGCTACGGAGTTGATCTGTGCAGGGTGGTGATGTGATTGAGTGTTTAAGTAGCGGTTTGTGTGTGTTTTTTTCTGGTAGATGGTGTGTCCTAGGGAGCCATCGGGTTTTCTGTAGACTAGGATGTCCAGAAAGGGAAGTTGGTTGTTAGCTTCTATTTCCATAGTAAATTGTATTTTGGGGTGTAGGTTGTTGAGATGTGTGAGGAAGTTGTCCAGTTTTTTCTTTCCGTGTGGCCAAATTATGAAAGTGTCGTCTACATATCTGAGCCAGATTTATCTAAAGTGTTGGTTTCAAAGTGTTCCATGTATAGGTTTCCGATGATGGGTGAGAGGGGTGATTCCATAGGTGCTCCTTCAATCTGCTTGTATCTTTGTCCATTGTGGATGAAGTATGTGTTGGTTAGGCAGTGGTTGGTGAGATCTAGGATGTGCTTAGGGGGGTTGTATTTGTTTTGAATAGCTGTTGAGGCTGCTTTAATAGGCACTTGGGTGAAGAGGGATATGACATCGAAACTCACGAGTAGGTCACTGGGTTGTAGGTTTTGTTTCTTTATTGTTTCTATAAAGTGGAATGAGTTTTGTATGTGTGAGATGATGGATTCTGCGTAGGGCTGAAGTTGTTTGGCAAGAAATTTGGCAAGATTCTGTAGAGGTGAGCCTATGGAACTGACTATGGATCTGAGTGTATCTTGGGGAGGCCATAGAGCTTGGGGCATCTCGATGATTTCTCTCTGGGGATGATTCTTTGCTGGATCTCTTCGCTGATGGGAGCCCACACAGGATGTTACGAAACAGCCGACTAATCTGCAAACATCAACTCCATCAACTGTGGTGAACTGTGAACTGTGGTTTGGGTAAACTTTCCCTGATTCCAGGGACCTCCTGGAGACTGCTATTTTATGGCCTTGTTGCAGGGAACATCTGTATGAAGCATTATGGGCCATCCTAAATCCTCTCAATTTGGAAGGAGTTGGAGGAGCCGATTCATTTACTGGCTCCTATTTCCACTGCAGTTGTCAGTTCCACTCTCATGGAGCTGTCTTTTGTTGGCTACACTTCTCTGAAAGAGTCTATACATATGCATATTTGTTTTAGAGTAAAATTAATGTTAGGTCGTTGCTTAGCCGATGAGTTTCTCAGCTGAGGATAGAACTTATTCTTAGTCTGTTTACTTTTTACTGTTACCTGCTCTTTAGTTATTACACTACACACACACACACACATACACACACTCATACGGCCACAACCCACTGGATGACTAGATGGTATCAGAAAACATTGTGAAAATTCCAAAATAAACTTTACTCCAAGAGAAGCCTATATTGAGGGCCACTCAGCTTTTTGATGCTTCACCTGGTAGAGCTATTCCTCCCACAGGTTTAAGACTCATCAGCTTAAGGCTACCTTATTAGACTGCAGTACTCTGTCTGACTATTAACTGATTAGCATCATCTATGTTCTAGCTAAGCCTTTCTGGAGGATATTGTGTTCTGAAATGGATAGTGGGTGGGTGGATACATTGAGTACCCATTTGGGTTCAGTACCTCTTTGCTTCTAGGATTTAGCTTGATCAATTTGGTTTGGAGTTTTGTTTTTTCCCTTTTTTCAGTTTCTCTTAGAGATTGATGG